AAGCACTTTGCATTTCAATCAGAGGAAACAGAAAATGAAGTAAACTAAGTGTTAGGGCCATTAGAGAATGATGAGATCCCTAAAGCAAAATACTCAGCAACAAATGAATGTAGGGTGATGACAGGCTGCAACACCAAACAGGGTGCCGAGAAGGTAGAAGTGGAAAGTACTTCATGTGGACATCAGGGCTGGCTTTCCAGGGGAAAGAAGCCAGTGGAAAGGCCTGGAGCCTGCAGCTGGCCTGCAGCAGTCAGAAGCAAGAGCAGGCCAGAAGCAAAGTGCACTTAACAAGAGGGAGAGAATGTCAAGCCCGCAGGGGACCTTAGAGGTTACTGCAGGGGTTTTGGTGGTTATTTGCATGCCATGTCTCACCTTATGCCCTCCCCATTAGCTTTTTTCTTTCCCTTTATTTTCCTAAATAACATAGAAAGATTTTCAGAAGACTGGTAAGTTCATCTGGGGATAGCAAAGCATTGCAATGAGAAGAAATGTGTACAGTGAACTGTGGACATATTCAAAGAGGTTGACATGAAGGCCAAAAGAAGGAGGATCATATAAGATGTTTTGAAAGAATAATCCTTGGTCCCGAGAGTCAGTGTCTTACTCATTTTCTCACTACTAGGACAAAATATCCAATGCTCCCAATTTAAAGGAGGACAAGTTTATTTGGTTTCCAGAGGGTGAAATTCTAAGTTGGGTGGTTCAAAGGCAGAAACACGTGGTAGAGGAACCTTAGCAGATGACACTTGTTCATCCTGTGCCATCCAGGAAGCAGAAAGAAGGAGAGATCCAGGGCAAGAATGCACCCTTCTATAGAAACAACAAATAAATATATGAAAAATATTCAACATCACTGGTCATTCAGGAGACGCAAGTTAAAACAATGCTGAGATTTCACCTCACTTCCGAAAGAAGGGCTATTATCAAGAAAACAACCAATAACAAATGTTGGTGGGGCTTTGGGGAAAAGAAACCCTTTTCTACCATTGATGAGAGGGTAGATTGGTGTAACCACTATAAAAACCAGTGTGGAGATTTCTCAGAAAATTGGGACTAGAGGTTCCATTTGACTAAGCTATTCCCCTTCTTGATATCTCCCCGAAAGAAATAAAAAGATATCACATTAACATATTCATACCCATGTTTTAGCAGCACAGTTTGTAATAACTAAGTCTTGGAAACAGCCCAAATGCCCACCAACTGATGAATGGATAAAGAAAATTTGGAAAAATTTTTAATACAATGAAGTACTATTCAGCCATAAATAAGGATAAACTTGAGACATTTCTAGGTAAAAAATGCACCTTGAGACCATATTCTTAAGTGAAATAAATCAGATACACACGTATAAATGTTGCTTTGTTTCTCTGGTATAAGAAATCAAAAGTGTAAATAAGAAACAAAATGGGTAATAGATCTTGTGAAACAGGAAGAAAATGTTCAAATGGAAACGGGAACTGGGGAGGGGGGGGAGAAAAGAAATAAGAGAGAAGAAAAAATGGAAACAAAGTTTTTGTAAATAAGGCGAGGAGAGAGGGTTGAAGGGCGAGGAGAGAAATAGGCAAAAAAAAAATTATATAAAGCGAAACACAGATGGACGTTATCAGTTGCTAAAATATCATAGCATTCTAAGTAATTGAATACAAGCATGATTTCCTTCTTTCTTCTAGGACAACCTTACAATGCTGTCTGTTTGGCAACTGAATACAATAATTGTAGAATTTAATGGTTTTTTCTCATATATTGTTTTGTAACATCTTCCTATGTTGTGTGTAAAATCAATCCTGACTGCAATCATATAAAACAAATAATATTGTGTCTACTTAAAAAGAAGAAGAGTATATCCTTGTAAATCACATGCTCAGCACCCCCCTCCCCCAACAATACCCCACCTCCTAGCAGCACATTCAGCTGCTTAACTTCTGGAAGGACTAATCCACTGATATGCATGGCATTCCCTACCACCCAATCACTTTCCAAAAGTTCCACATCTAAACACATGAGGTCTCTTTGGAACATTCTAGATCTAAACCATAGCAATCAGTAACAAGAGTGGCACCAGTCCCAGGTGAAAGACATAGTCTTGCAAAAGAAAACGTCCTTGTGGAAGTGTTCTTAACCTCAGTTTGCAGTGGCCGCTGTGCAAGGCTGTAGTTCTAGCAACATTGGTTGTGAATATTTCTAGTTGTAAAGCATACATATCCTCTCTTTCATAACCTCTCAGCTTTGTTATTATTTTTGTTAGAGTTTGACACAGGTGACTGCACATAGATTCTAACAGCTTTCTTTTTTTTCTCCACAAACATTCTATGAACTGTGTTGAATTTCTAGCTTTGTTGTTTTTTGTTTGCTTGATTGTGTTTTGTTTTGTTTTGTTTTGTTTTCATTAGTAGGATTGAAGTGCAGGCCTTTTATGTGCTAGGCAAGTACTTTACTACTGAGCTACAACCCCCTTTACAATTTTACATTGAGACAGGACCTCATTAAATTCCCCAGGCTGTTTTTAAACTTTCGATATTCTTGCCTCAGCCTCCTGATATCTGGCATACTATGGACATACTCCACTACCTCCAACATTAAATTTGTTATTTTTAAAACCTCATTTTTATACTCAGTTAGCCTCTGCTGTTTCTCACATTGATGCTGCTGTGATGTGCACAGCTTGCGGGGCTCCTGGATGGTCTTCTTCCATATCTTGACCTTGCTTCTCAACGTTTCTTACCATATGCTACATCCGTCTTTGTTTATTATACTTTATCATGCCTACCAGGTGTTTCAGTAATTATGTTGTCTTCTGTTAAAGATGTTTATGCTGGAGCCATCACTGACATCAATCCTATTATTCACAATTTAGGAGAATACCAGAATATAAATTCTGAAAAGAGGCTGATTTCAAGTTCAGCTTTTTATTTTACCTAAAGTAAAAATAAGTCAAAGTCTATTTTCTCTAGTTCAATAAAAGACAATTTATAGGAAAAAGTCCTTTAAACCTCTTAAAGAAAATTATTTTAAAGTAATATTTTAAAATATATCTAATAAACTGAAATATAGATATTTTATTCTTAAATGAGTAAAATGCCCAAATAAGAACTTATAAATTAAATATAAATAAAAATACAAAAGCAACATAAACTATGGATTTATTTTGGCAGGTGCTGTCATTTTATTGACCCTAAACAGAGCTTTGATGGACTGGTGGAGACGTTTGTGGCCCAAGTCTGCCCCCTGGGCTGTGATCTGATTTCCCACGGCTTTTCCTTGTGGCTCTTCCCTTTATACTCTCAGTACTGACTGTGTACTGTCCCTTGCTGCCAGTGCACCCTCACGTGTGATCCACCTCTGTTTCTTCCCCATTCATTTCAAGAAACTGAACTGTGGCTGATTATTTCCAAAAAGATCTAAAGCAATTATAAATGATCATAAGCTGAATCTGCATAGCAGGTTTCTGTTGCACTGCAGCCAATCAAATGATGGATCCAGGACACATTTTTACCAATTGTCCAAGTGATCATGAGACTCGCCACCCTGAAGTGACACTGTCTTAATCAGAACATATCTATTTTGACTCAGGGTTGCAGTTGCACTTCCCTTTTTTCACTTTCACAGTGTCTATTATACTCAGAAATAATGTTTTCACCAGCCATCTGGATATTACTGGGTTATTCAAGTTGACCCATAATATCAGCCACCACACTCAAATTCTTCTTCAAAATATCTTGCAGGAAAATTCACATAGCCTGTGTTTATAAATCTCCCACCTCTGACTTTATAAGTCAGTTTTCCTGTTTTTCTGTTGGTTTAAATCCAGCCTCCTAAAACAATGCGTAAGTCAAACTACTTTTGTAAAGAGCCTCTTCATCCATGTAAAGACAAGTTTCATCAATCCTCACCCTGCCTTGCTCAAACACCCTCATTATTTGCAACTATTTTTGCATCACAAAATTGAGTAAAATAAGAAATGGCTCAGTTATATCTTTGGTATGTCCCACATGTGATCCAATTTTCTTAAGAGAAACTTTAGCTGAGATCCATAGGTCTTATATCAAAGAAACAGGTTTTATATCAGTTTTATTTCCAGTTAATGTTGTAAATGACTATAACCCAATACTATGGAGTTATCCTATTGAAAAGACAGGAATAGAACACATTTTAACTGATACTAATCATTTACCCATGTATAAACATATAAATTTAGGCATATAGAGACAACCATAGGTAGTATTTATTTGTTTATTCTTACATGTATTTACTTATTTCATTTATAACTGAAAAAATAAAATGTGAAAGCCTGAACAGATGAAGGTGATGGGCAGAAAGACTATTGTACCCTATCCCAGAGTCCTTCCAGAAAAGACCTTCCTAAGGTTTTTGTTTGTTTGTTTGTTTGTTTTTGTACAAAGGATCAAACTCACAACCACACCCTTGCAAAGCAGGCTAAATCCTCAGCAACCTTCCCAAGTTTAAGTGCAAGATCCTATGGGTCTTTTTGCACAAAGTCTTCTAGAAGAGCCAGGCAAGTTAAACCTCAGTGAATCTTGTATAGACAGGACATCCACCTGCTCTGTTCTCCATTCTGAAATCATGATAAGCCTCCCACACCCCTGGGGGCTGAGTAACAGGATAGCATCAGTCAATGAGAACCCACAGTCATCAGCTCTCCCTCTAACTCCAAACTCTGGCTCTGTATTAGGGACAGGTGACAAAGAACCAGAAATGTGTGATAGATATCCTATGACCCCACAAAGGTCATGACAAGGAGCGAAAGGGGTTGGCCGGAATCACATGCAGCCCTTTCCCAAAGAGCTGCAGGTGGAACAAAGTAGTGGAGACTGCTCTGGTGAAGGTCAGGCTTCTCTGAGATTGGCTAGACACGTTCTCAGGCACACATTTGCATCCCCCTAAACATCAGCATTGCTCAATGATAGTTATAACTCTATGTAAGAATGCATCTTGTGCAAAATGAGAATGACATTTTAGTGATTAATTTTTCTTTCCAACAGCTGGCTGTCCCAACTCCTTGATTAAAGAGCTTCATCACTTCAGGATCCTTGGAGAAGAGCAGGTGAGTCAGCCTCTCAAAGACTGCAGCACTGTGTCATCAAAGATAGATGCTAATGAGACAGTTTGGGCTCCCCCCAGGGAAGCTGAATGTGTCTCCTGACCCATAGAGCCCTGAAATGGGGAAGAAAGTCATGCTGAAGACATGTGTGAAGACACTTTTCCTCTTCTATCCATCAGACCTGACAGGTTATTAATTGGTACATCTGCTTTCTGCCAGAGCGTTTCATCTCAAGACTCAAGCAGTAAGCAGGCACTGCATAGTGGCAGATGAACAAACAAACAAATGCAGAGATGAATTATGCCTGAGGGATCGATACTCACAGACATTCCTGATGTGATGCCTGTGGGTAGAGGTGTGCGCTCTTTTCACCTGATTTTTGTACTTTATATGTGCTACCTGTATTTCACAGCAGCCACCTTCTATACGATGTGTACCGATGACATGCATAGGATGACCCCTTTAGAGTACAGATTATTAAAGTGCTATATTCTGTCTCAGTAGAAATGTCACATTTTAAATAGATATGCAAAGTAAATCATTCAGGGTGCTAATTATATGCGTGCATGTATGCATGCATATACTCTGATACTTAAAATACAATTAGTATTTCATATCCACGGGTTCCACATCTGTGGATTCAACCAACAACAGATTGAAGACATTTGTGGGGAGGGGACAAGAACACAACAACAAAAATGTAAAATTTTTAACTTTGTTAAGCAAATATATACTTAGCATTTATATAGTATTAGGTATTATTAGTAATTCAGAGATTATTTAAATCACATAGAGGATGTGTGTTGATTATATGCAATACTACAGCAGTTGATATAAGGAATTTGAGTCTGCTCAGATTGCATTATCCACTGGGAGTCCTGAAATCAGCCTTCCACATGGGTACCATGGAACAACTCTTAACCCTTACATGGAATTGTGAATACTATATTAATATGTTAAATTAAGGTATAAGATAGTCAAATTATACTTAAAATATGTACATTAAATAGTTGACAACATGTTGGCTGGCCTACATTATACTCCCATTACTCACTTTTACTCCCAAAGATGATCTTTACCAACTCTGACCATATAACTTACCAGTGGTATTTATGGCTGTTTGTCTGTGTTTTCAGTTTGTATGTTTTTCTTTGGTGTGTGTGAATGGCAAGGTATAACTGTTCATTTCCAATGTGAATTAAAACCAGAAAGAGTTGATTAGAAAAGATCAAAAAAACTAGAATAATTTCTTCATCTTTGAATAAATAAATTATAGTATGTCTTTCCTCATTTTGAGCTTTCAAAAAAGCAGCCATAAATGTTTATTCAAATACAAAGTTAATTTTCCTGCACTACAGATAAAAGTTGATAAATCAATCTTTAAACATATCTACTTGTTAAAACACCTGCCTCTAATGCCAATTTTTCAATAGAAACCTGACAGACTTATTAAAGCAAAAGTTATTGATCATACTCTTGACATTTCCATTCAGATAATGGCTCTTCTCTTATAATGTGTACCAATATTTGTAAATTGTTTCCATATTAATTTTAGAGTCACTTAGTAATTAGTAGGAGAAGAAGCCAAATATTACTTTCTCAATAGAATTACATAAAAGAGAGACCACTTTACATTCTCCTAAAAATTTGATCAAATAATAATCAATATTAATGTCACTCAAATTAGATAGGGCAGTAGAATACATCATAGCAAAATTAATCTCTATTTTCTAGAAAACCACATTTATTTTCTTTTCATTCTACAGATATTACTTAGTACCTACTATATGTTGTCTAATTGTTATAAGAATAGGAAATGGAACAGAAATCACCATCAGGCTTTTATTCTAGTAGGGGAAAACTATGTTTTGTTATATAGACATAAATATATTCAGCATTATGTTAGATACTTATCACTGACATGAAAAAGGACCACTGACAACCAAAAGGAAGGACAGTAAATGCCAGAGGAAAAGGTAAAATGCTACATAAGATGATCAGGGAAAGCATCACCAAGCAGGTGCTACAAGAGTATTATGGTTGATTCATTGTGTCAACCTGAGAAGTTTACAAGTTTAACTGAGAGTCTCAGCAGGGAGCCATGATCCTTAGTTTGTAAATATCCTCATCCTGTGCAAAAAGAGAGCACAGAGATTTTGTGACTGTTACACAGGCCCTGGGGAGGGGTAAGGGGAGATGGCCTGTGTACAGTATAATGGAGGAGAAGAGTTTGTTCGCTTTTGTTCTGGCTGCTGCCTTGAAGTGTTGCCCCAGTGCCATGCCACCCTGCCTTGAAGCCAGCTGATTCTGGACTGAAACCTCCACAGTGAGCCAAATAAACCTGTCCTTCCTTCGTGTTGGGTGTTGGGTATTTTGTCCCAGCAACCAGAGAAACGTAATCAAGACAAAGAGTAAAGATTGAGAAGTGTCAAGGAAAATGCCATAGTGACATCTGGGAAAGGAGATGTTCAGAGAAAAAACACACAAACATAGAGGCTCTGAAGAGATCATGTGCCTGGCTTGCTCAAATAGTACAGAGGGCAGTACGACTCGGGGAGGCTGGTGAGGAAGCAAAGCAAGATGAAGAGTTGCAAAACTGAGGGAGGAGGAGAAAGAGAAAACCAGACTGTTTAGGCAGAAGTTAAAAATGGTAGAAGGAAATCAAGGAAGCTGCTGAGAACAAGAAGCCGATGAACTTAACCATTTCTAGGAGGAGAACTGAGCACCTAATCCCCATCTTTCCTCATGTGGCAATAGAATGGCCTGTGAGCACTGGAATTTACATCACAGAGCTCATTGGTGGCCTTGACCACCGGCTGGTGTCGGGTCTGTCATTGATAGACTTGGAGGGTGATAGCCTGCCTGGAGCAGGTTCCTGTGAGAAGAGACAAAAGGGGTGGGGACAGCAAAAGTACACAATTCTTAATTGTTTTTAGAATTTAGCTGCTAAAAAAGTTGAATTGTCTAGAGTTGGAAATGTGGATTCAAAAATATGCTCTTAAATGAGAAAAACTGCAACATGTTTACACACTGACTGGGATCATGTGATAGAAAACCTGGCAGGCTGATGATGCCGAAAAGAGAGGGAAGAAGTCAGCGGTGATATCCTTAGACATGAGCCTGGTCTCGGAAGAAAGGCGGCAGCTTGCAGGTGGCAGCAGGAAGGGCAGCACGTGTTGACACAGAAGTACACGTGTGCAGGAATGGATGGTGGATGAAGCTCTCTTCCTCAACAAAATGGGAAGTTAGATGACCAGTGAAGATGGGGACAGAAATTTACACAAGGAAAAAGATGATGCAATTGTTCTCTAGAAGGGTGGGGATTGAATGATCTTGGGAAATGAAGTGATTTGTAGTGAGATCAATTAGCCTAAAGTGTTCGGTCACATTTCACTTGTGGGTTGAGAGGTATCTGAAGGAGCCGCAGGAGAGTGTTGCCCTCGGGTTCCATCCCGCTCCAGTTAGGGAGGCTGTTAGGGAAATGAGAAGGCAAGGCTGCCAGAGGGCGGTGCAGTGAAGGATGTGGTGGGTGAAAAAGTTGCACAAAGTCACAGGGGAGAGCTGGGGTCCTCCCAGAGAAATGATACAAATGTCAGGCACTTCTTTGGTAACTGACATAAACAGGACACCTCAGTCAGGATATTTATATCTGGACGATTTAAGACAAGACCCAGTGACCTTGGGTGAATAGTGATGAGACTCTGGAGTGGAAGTGGAAAGTTTCAGCCTCCAGCCCTCCAGCCAGTGGGAGTGCACAGCTGCCGAGGAACTGGTGACGTTCTCAGACTGTCTCTGGGCACTGCAGACAAACATGTATTACTTGATAAAGTAACTTTTTTATATTATTGTATGTTAGAGCACCCTTGAACAAATCTTGTTGTCTCAATAGCTTGCCTTTTCCTTTCATATAAAAGGAACAGTGATACTCAGCCATCCTTTACAGTTGTAAATAAACAGAATTCTAAAGTGAGATACAAATAATAAAATGCTTCTAATTTTAAGTACCTTTTACACTCCATCAGTATGGCTAAGAAGAAACAACAAAATAGATCTTAAATGTTAACAGTCACTTGAATTGATAAGATCAATATAATACTGGTTAATTACTGAATCCATTGCTGAATGACATAGATGTATACCAGCTAACTAATTTCTTTATACAGTATGAAATTTGTTTTCTGTTTTTATTGATTCTTAGTACTTGTTTGGCTTTTGATATTTGGATAAAAAATAAATCATTAATTACTATAAATCATTACCTTCTAAAATACATTGAAATTCCTTGGAATTTAAAATGATACATTGGTTCTAGTTTCTTGGCCCTTCCTCTGTATTTGTCTATAGTTCACATTTATAAAGCATTTTTACTGGACAACCAAACTATTTGTCAAGAATATAATATATTTTAGATAAGTAAAATCACTCCAAAGTTGTAGATCAGTGTATTAGTCATTTTGTTGTCATTTTGGAACAAATACCTGATATCCATAATTTAAAGAAGTTTAATGTAGCTCATGGTATCAGAGGATTTCATTCTCATTCCCTGACTCCAATGCAGAAACAGCATGGTAACAGGGCATAAAACTGCTCACATGGAAGCCAGGAAGCAGAGAGATAAGGGAAAAGCCAGCGAAGGAGACAGCCCCTCCAAAAGCGTGCCCTAGGGTCCTGCATCTTTCAACCAGGTCTCACCCGCATCAGCTCATTTATCTATAAACTCATTAATGGCTAAATCTGATGAATATAGGGCTCTCATGACCCAGTCATCTCCAAAAGTTCCACCTCTGAGTGTATGACATTTGGGGGAACATTCTAAATCTAAGCCATACCAGTGAATCCAAAAGCACGCAAATGTCCATGGTATTTAAGAGAGTTTTCAGAGGAAAACTGCACTGCAGAAGTACTTCTGCTCATACCAGCTTCCTCTGCCTTAAATTTAATCATCAGAATCTTAAAGAAATTACCTTCATTCTTCCAGCAAATTTGCATTGAATACTTGTTTG